GCGGGGGGCTGCGGAGGGGCGCGGCCGGGACCGGAGCCCAGGGACGGCCACCGAGGGAGCTCCGGGCCTGGGCGGGCCGGAGATGTGGGTGGGGGGACCCGCACCGGGAGGCCGAAGCTCGGGACTGGGGGAGGGGGCGCAGCGAGGTGTTGGCGGCGGGATCTCGGGTCCGGGCCTCCACCCCCAACTTTCTCGCGTCCTGGGCTCTGTAGCTGGGTGGAAGGAAGGGAGTGGGGCTCTGGGCTGAACGGTCAGCGGTGGGGGAGGTGTTTGGGGCTGGGTTTTCCCGCCTGGATGTTCCTAGTTGGTTGCTCTTCCTTCCCAGCCCTGTGGACTGCATTCTGCCCTCTCCACACACCAAGGTCCCACTCTGAAACCTCAGGGGCTGGAACTAGCACTCGAGAGCTCTCCCTCCCTCTACGACTTAGGTATTAGGTACAGGGGCTGTGAGAGCCCGTCACAAAAAACATCCAGGCATATTCTGGTTCCTTTGGCCACTCAGAGCTTCCTGAAACCGGGAATATCGGAGGGGGGTGCACTGGGGCAAGATTGCTGGTCTTCAGTTGTCTTTGTGTTCCCACATAACCATTGAAGTAGTTGGCAGTGGCGAGACTGGGGATACCCAAGTTTACACTACATACCCCTGGGACTGCTGGATGTGGATGGGGTAGGAGGTGATTCTTCCTTTCACGGAAAGGAAGTGAGCCTGAGTGGGTGAGCCTTGTAGGGAAGAGGCACAGGCCAAAGCAGTAGTCACCCAGCCGGCACCTGCTCTTGAGAGTCACTCCCTGCCATACCAGCCTCTCCAGGAAGGGAAGGGAAAGAATGACAAGTATTTACAAACTGAGATGTAGGTTTTGCAAAATCACAGCGTCCAGGAGCTTGCCTCTGTCACACTGCAAAGGCCAAGAAGACGCAGAACTGGATTCCAGCTAATGTAGATGGTTCACTTTCCCTTCTCTGCTTCAAATGGTCAGGAGACTAGAAGATATGTCTGTGTGTGTGTGTGTGTGTGTGTGTGGAGAGTAGGCTCCCAGAAGGTAGTCCCTGTTGGTATGCCAGTAGCCCAGGAGTCCTGGACTTCCTGCTCCGGGCCCCTTCCCTCCCTTCTACCTCCTACCTTCCTAGCACCCGCCCCTGCACACATTCAGGTATTAATAGAGCAGGAGGCTGCCAGGAAGGCTGCCATGTGTTTGATCTGACGTGGTTTTGCAGCCATATGTTCTCTACTTCTGGGGAGCACTTCCTTCTTTCCTTCTTCAGCCTCCTTTCACTTGCCAGGGTGGGATGCAGGGGTGGGGGGATGCCAGCAGCAGTGTGGAGTCTGGGCTGTCACCTTGGGCAGAGAGCTGGCAGCTTATTGCATTGGCTGGATGCAGTAGTGGTTCCCCTGGCGGTACCTGCCCCAGGTGGACTGGCTGTCCCACTGGTTTAGCCTGGTTTGCCTTCCTTTAGGAGGTTGGATATGAGCTTAATGCTTCCTAGCAGGGAGGTTCACCTTCTTAGAACTAGGGGGACTCGGCCCTCCTTGGTGGGGCAGCGGGTTAAAGTGCAGCACTGCAAGCTAGCTGCAGCAGATTCAGTGGGAGTTTGATCCTGGCCTGGGGGTGACCCACATGGCGCAGCAGACCTCTCCTAGGAGTCTCACCTGCCGTGCCCCTCAGCAGTGTATTTCATCGATCTGCCTGTTCTGCTCCCCACTCTGTCTCAGGAGAATCCTCTCACCCACTGCCCCTGCACCTCTGACCTGTACCCCAGTTCTGTATGCACAAATAAATAAATTAAACGGCACCATGCCACCTCCCTCAACTGTCCCACCTCTCCTCTTTGGCCTTGATCGTTGGCTGAACACCAACCCTCTGACATGTAAGCGAGGTTCTGGAAGAAGGTGGGGGATATATGCAGAGACAGGGTCTTTTTCAAGCCAACCGACAGACTGACACTTTCCCTTTTGCACTTCTCAGGCCTGAAGCTCATGGGAGCCCCAGTGAAGCTGACAGTATCTCAGGGGCAACCGGTGAATCTCAACTGCAGCGTGGAGGGGATGAAGGAGCCGGAGATTCAGTGGATGAAGGATGGGGCTGTGGTTCAGGGTGTGGATCAGATGTACATCTCAGTCAGTGAGCAGCACTGGATTGCCTTCCTCAGGTGCAGGACGCTGGGGAAGGTGCAGATGCCAGTCTTGGGGCAAGCTGAGCTCTTGGGGATTGCCAGCTAAGGGCAGTACGGATGCACCCAAGTCTGTAGTTTATTTTGTAATTTGGAAACCAGTGGAAACTTCCAAAAGTGATGGCAGGCTGAAGCCACTGAGTGTTCCCAGCAGAGCTGCCCCCTGGAACCCTGGGAGGCAAGCCTGGTGTCCTGTTTCCACAGCCTGAAGTCAGTGGAGCGCTCTGATGCAGGCCGGTACTGGTGCCAGGTGGAGGATGGGGGAGAAACCGAGACCTCCCAGCCTGTGTGGCTCACTGTAGAAGGTGAGGAACCAGCATCAGGTGAGCATGTTGGTCTGGAGTATGTGCTGTCTCTGTTAGTGATCACATCTGTGCAGAAAACAGTGGAAACTGGGCTGCCGCACAGACTGGGACCTGGTTGCATCTAGGGCCTTGCCCTAGATGGTCAGAAGGCCATGCCCACTGGATTCTGGGTATTTGAATGCCAAGGAATAACTCAGACCTACAACCTATAGAGTGCAGCCTGTTTCATTTGGCTAAGCAACAGCCTTCAGTACCCATCTGGGGCTGGACCTTATTCTGCCAATTGGCCAGGCCAGGAGGGAATGTGGGGGAGGGGAGAAAGGCTCCCACAGCTGCGTTGAGCCCAGAGCTGTTTAGCCCCGGAAAACAAAGTGACTAAGAAAGTAACAAAGGGCCCTGAACAGGAGCTGGGTCTGCCAGCAGAACTCTGCTAAAGCTCCCGCCCACTCCTCCTCCAATTCTCCCTCCTCCCTTCCTCCCAGTCCCCTAACTCCCCACCCTCTGTCTGTCTCCTCCCTGGCTCTGAGAGTGCTGTGTGAACTAGTCCGGGTAGGGAGAATACCTTGCCTTAAGGGATAGCATAAAGGATACTCCTAAGCAGGGCCAAAGACAGAAGAAGCTCCCTCATCAAGCTGGATGATTTTATGATAGACCAAGCGTAACATCCCATGGAACCTTCTCTTTAGAGGACTTCCGGTGGTAGCAAACTTGTGATTTGGGCAGTGTGGCGCTAAGGAGGAGTGATAAGACTTACTCCTCCCTTTTCTCTCTAGGCGTGCCATTTTTCACTGTGGAGCCTAAAGATCTGGCAGTGCCACCCAATGTCTCTTTCCAACTGACTTGTGAGGCTGTGGGTCCCCCTGAACCTGTTACCATTATCTGGTGGAGAGGAGGCACGAAGATCGGGGAGCCCACTCCCTCTCCTTCTGTTTTAAATGTAACAGGTGAGCAGCCTCAGGAGGGGCTTTGAGCTGTTGGTCCCACCTGGCCAGTGGTCACCCTGCTGTGTGGAGGATGGTGCTGGAGCCTCTTCCCTTTCACAGTAGTCCAGGCTGAGCACAGCTGACCATGGAAAATGAACTGCTTGGGACCAGGGGTACACATTCCCCCCATCCCTTCCAAAAGAAGGCGCCAGGAACCAGCCCACACAGAGCTATGAGGAGTGTCTGGCAGACTCCTAGAAGACAAGAGTCTCAGACTGCAGAGGGGAGGGAGGTGGGGGTAGGAAAGAGAGGAGGGAGATTCCAGCACAAAGACACAGGAGCCTCCTTTCCTAATGGCCCTCTCTGTAGTTCTCCAGACGTTTCCCCAAACTGTATCTGTTGATGTCTTCCCACAGACCTCAAGGAGCCATCCCTGCATACCCACCTGGACCCCAGGTCCCTGGGCACAGACTTCACATGCGTGATGCCTGTTTACTGTTTCTGGTCAATGCTTGCATTGACTAAAAAAGATGAGTCTGAGCTTAGTGTCATGCACTGGAAGGTGAAAGGGACGGGCTGTGATCTGCCTGATCCTCCAGCAGTCTGAATCTGGAGAAAAGGGGGGCTTCAGGACATGTTGGAAGAAAGGGCAGTCCTGTTTCCCAGGCACTGGGTTGGAGCAGATTAGAAAGGAGGTTGGGTTCAGTCCCCTCCAGATGTGCGTGGTTGGGACCTTCAGGCAGCCAGCCTGATAATAAGCACTCACTGAACTCCTACTCCACACCACACTGTGCTAGGCACCACGGGGGACCGTGGGAATACAAAAGAGGAATAGAAAGCCATCGGTTCAGCCCCCAAGGAATTAGTGTATTTGGGGTGACAAGACACATACATAAGTGCTGGAAACTATTACCAAGCACAGAGTCTGCAAATACAGCAATGACATGGCACAGAGCAAACAAGCTCTCTGGAATGTGCAATAAAGAAGTGACCAGAAAAGGGAGGCAGTTTTGTGCTCTCTGCAAGGGGTGGGCCTGCGGTGGGAGGGGTGGTATAACATTTCTCAAGTGCTTACTCTGCATCCTGCACTTTAGTTACATCATTTGGTTCTCCCACTTGGGAGATGAGTAAACAGAGCCCCCAGCTGTGGGATTTATATCTTGGTCTGTCGGATGCCAAAATCATCCACCATCCCCCACTGGAGAGCACCTTCCTTTGGCTGAAGGGGTTTCTAGGGTGTTTAGATACAGACCTTTAGCATCTCCCTTCCCCAATCCCAAATTGAATGGGAGCTGCTAATTGGGGGGTCTGACTGAAATTTTCTGGCTCCAGGGGTGACCCAGAGCACTGTGTTCTCTTGCGAAGCTCACAATGGAAAAGGTCTGGCTTCTTCGAGACCAGCCACTGTTCGTCTTCAAGGTAGGAGGGCTGGTGGGGGGAGGAGTGGAGGTAGGTGAGGCTGGGGCTGTGCGAGTGAGCAGACCAGCAATGAATGAAGTTACCACCTTTTGTTGTTCTGCTTCCCTCCTCCCTGCTGGGATCTGAAGAATAAGGGGTTAATTGGCTTAGCTCCATTCCTAGTGGGAGCACCTGAGACCCTGCCACGGCTGAGATGAGAATAGAAACCTGACGTCACAGCAGATTTCCCATCACGAAGCCGAGTTCAGGGAGGGAGGGAGCGAGCGGGAGCCAGCAGGAGCCGGTCAAGGCTCTTGCCCAACCTTGCTGCTACCAGCCCCTGCAGAGTGCGGGGGAGGGGAAAGCGCAGCCGGTGGCTGAGGGGACCCTGAGGCCGGGTGTGCCTGGAGGGAGGGAAGGAAGGAGCGGGACAGTGTGTAGGAATGAATTGTGGCTATGGGAGGGCTGCCTCACATTTGTGTCTCCTGAGTTTGGGGTACTGTACCCGCACACCCTCACTGTCTAATCCCATTCCTTGGCCAGTTATGGGCCTGGTTCAGGAAGAGGCCACCGTGCTCCATGGCTTGGGCACTGTAGGTACTACCCTGTTGTGTCCACTGGTTGCTTAGTCTGTGTATGGGAGCAGTCTGGGAGTGTTGAGTGGCCATCTTAAGGCTAGGAGGGCCCCAGCCCCAGGGAGGGACTCCAGGCTGGTTCCCAGGCCTTCTGTGCCCTTCTCTCCCATCCTTCCTGGCACTGCACCAGGGCACTGACTCTAAGTCCCATCCACAGCACTGCCTGCGGCCCCCTTCAACATCACAGTGACGAAGCTCTCCAGCAGCAATGCTAGTGTGGCCTGGATGCCAGGTGCTGATGGCCTGGCCCTGCTCCAGTCCTGTACAGTCCAGGTAGGCTGAGAGGCAGGATGGGGGCTCCCCTGGCCGTGTGCATTTTGGAGATGGGGGTATCATTTGCCTCTGGGGCTTACTTTTCAGCTCCTTTAGGTGCTGTTACCACAACAGTCCGGGCCATTGTGCGTTTCTGGACAGCCAAGTGGCGCTGCACATGGGCCCAAACCCTTATTGGAAAACATCACTAGGGCAGATTTGGGATAACTGGAAAAAACCCAAGCCTTTGATTTATCTGATACCGGCACTTATGTGCCGCACCCTCTGACTCATGCCAAAGAGAACGAGGAGACCAGGGGTTCTGAGCATTAGCCACTAGGAAAGGTGGGTAAGGTGATACTGAAAGCAAGAGGCAATGCAGGCTTGCTCATTTTCATGCTTATTCAGAAGGTGTTTAGCACAGTGGAAGCTGTTGTGGCAGCTCCCCTGGACAGGAGAGGCTCCTGTTCTGGGCTCTTCCATTTCAAGGACCCCGCTTTGGCCGCACTCCTTACTCTGGGCAGGGAATCTATATGGCCAAGGAGTCAAGCCCATCCAGATCATTAGCACACCCCAAGGCTGCTGCTTGTGTGGGCCTGTTCCCTACTTTGTCCTCCCACAGGCACTGCCTCTCAGCCCAAAGGGCAGTCATTTGGGGGGGGAGGGTGCAGGTGACATTGTCCCCACCTGTGTGTGTGTGATGTCCCCCATGGTGGGCACACCTGGCTGGAGGCTAGCTCTTGTGCCAGCACATTTTTCCTTGGCTCCAGAACCCAAGGACTGGAGAACTGTAAATGCAAATCTGAGGTTTTGTAAACATTTTATGATGAAGAATATTTAGGAGCTTGCTAGCTTGCTAATGCTGCTTCAATATGTAGCTGTTTGGTACATTGATCTCTATTTGCATTCTTCCCCTGCACCCCCAATGTGGAAAGCCCTGGCCCACGGTACTCTTAGGCTCCCAGTTACTTGGCTCTTGAGAAACTCTGTGGTATGCAGTGACAGTAAGCAGTAAACTGCTTCTGAGAAGTAGCCAAGGTAGGCACCCAGCACTAAAGAATATGAGTTTTTTGGAGGTTGAAAGGTTTTTAGAAAATGGTATTTGAGCTGTGTCTTAAAGAATGAGTTGCACTTTGTCAGGAAGGACAGGTCATTCCAAGCAAGGGCAGCAACGTTTGCAAAGGCATGGAGGTATGGAACTTGGGGTGTTACTGATGGGGGAAGGGATGGGTTGCAAGTGTTTGCTGACAGATTTGGAGGAGGCACTAATTCAAGCCCTTACACCTGTTCTGTCTGCCTCCTTTCTCTTCTACGTCATTTGTTTTCTGCTTTCTTAAAGGTGACACAGGCCCCTGGAGACTGGGAGGTCCTGGCGGTTGTGGTTCCCGTGCCACCCTTTAGCTGCCTGCTCCGTGACCTAGCTCCTGCCACCAACTACAGCCTCAGGGTGCGCTGTGCCAACGCCCTGGGGCCTTCTCCATATGCCGACTGGGTGCCCTTCCGGACAAGGGGTCTAGGTAAAGGACTCACAGAGCAGGGTGTCTGGGGAGGGCAGGGCAGGTGTGGGGTAAGCACTTTGCTGGCTCTCCTTCCGAATGGAGTTGTGTGGGAGAAGGATTCCTGAAAGGGAGGCTTATGCTGTACTCAGCAAATGAAATGAGCGCTTGCTACATACCTATGAACTAGATCAATCCGTGTCTCAGCAGTTCTATCGATAATTCTAGTGGTTGGGTCAGACAAGCAAAGTGGAAAAGATAAGATGACTGTGGTAAGGAGGAGTGCCTGAGGGGTGTCAAGGAAAGAGCCGAATAAGGAAGGAGCCATATACATATGTAGGGGAAAATCACATTTGGAAGGAGGCACAGTAAATGCAAAGACCACAGGGTGGGAACTTGCTTGGTGTTCTCCAGCAGGGATTGCAAAGAAGCTGTAGGGGCTGAGATGGGCTAGGCGAGGGAATATGACTGAGGCAGTAACCAAGGCAATGAAGAGCAATACTCTGCTGAGCTGCTGGCTAGGAGTTTTGTTGATTACTCCGCCTCCCCAGGAGCCTGGGTGAGACACTCAGAGCTGGGAGAAAAACTCTGCTCAGCTGCTTGGTCCTTGGGAGTCAGTTCCAAAGATCTGCCTGCTTGGGATGGTGATGGAAGGAAGGGTAGCGCTCTAGTAACCTTCTCTCTTTGGGTACAGCACCAACCAGTGCTCCCCAGAACCTCCATGCCATCCACACAGACTCAGGCCTCATCCTGGAGTGGGAAGAAGTGATCCCGGAGGGCCCTCTGGAAGTCCCCCTGGGACCCTATAAACTGTCCTGGGTTCAAGACAATGGAACCCAGGTAAGGGGTGACTGAGCCTCTCCTCTGCAGGTGGTCCAGACCAGCCCTTAGGGTTCCACAGCCTGTAGAGAGCCAGAATGGCTGTGCTTGGTGGGGCAGGGGGCTTTGGTGGGCTGCACACCCCTTGCCCTCCTCAGCAGGCTGTGTTCCTCACTTGATTATGTCTCCTAAGAGGATTGCGACTTTGTGTGCAAAGCAGGAAGCGCATTCCTGCACAAACTGGGGGAGGGCCCAGATAAGGCCTCCTTCTCCCCTGCCCAGTTCCTCCCACAGCCCCACCCCTGCGTTTAGGACCAGCCTCCCTGCCAAGAAGGAATGTGCTCACTCCCTGCAGGTTGTGTTCCTGCACTCCCTGAGCCCACCCTGCCTCTACCCTCCCATGCTCCTAACTAGATCTCCTTTGTCTTCAAATGGTCCCCAGCTGGAGACCTGTCTCTCAGAATCATCATGGGCTGGGGGATTTTCCTGGTGCAGGGTGAGTTGACAGTGGAGGGGACCAGAGCCAACTTGACTGGCTGGGATCCGCAGAAGGACCTCACCGTCCGTGTGTGCATCTCCAATGCAATGGGCTGTGGACCCTGGAGTCAGCCACTAGTGGTCACTTCTCATGACCACGCAGGTGAGGCCTGTAAGAGGAGGGAACAGGGCTCTGGACTTTTAAGAACAACACAGACATTTCAGAGGAGACTGGTCCGCTGAGAGATCCAAAAATTCAGAGTCAAGTAGCCAAGACCAGAGTTGATATTTAGGCTACATCTCATTCTCTTCCTGCCCCCAAACTAGCACAGAAATCCCAGGTCATGGGCCTTCCCTGGTGGTGCAGCGAATTAAAAGTGCAGCACTGTGAAGCTGTCAACATCTGACCCACATGGCACAGCAGACCTCTCCTGACCGGCCTGCTGCTCCCCTCAGCACTGTACTTCGTCATTCTGCCTGTTCTGCTCCCCACTCTGTCTCTGGTGAATCCTCTCACTGCCCCTGCACCTCTGGCCTGTACCCCAGTTCTGTGTGCATAAATAAATCAATCTTTAAAAAAAGAAATCCATGGTCACACTGTAGGACCAAACAGCCAGGGCCTGTCACTGGCAGGGTAAGAGCTCTTGAGTCTTCCCTTTAAGCCTCTTTCTATTTGGGGCCCTTATTGACTTAGGGGGACCTCTTGACCAGGCCAAGTGACCATGGTCAGGTAGTGTACCGGGTCTTGTTGGTGTCAGCTTGGCTCATGCCACGGCCCTGCCTCCCACAGGCCAGCAGGGCCCGCCCCACAGCCGGACCTCCTGGGTGCCCGTGGTCCTGGGTGTGCTGACAGCCTTGGTGACGGCTGCTGCTCTGGCCCTCATCCTGCTTCGAAAGAGGCGAAAGGAGACACGGTTCGGGTAAGAGGGCAGAGACATGGAAGGATGGGTAGATGGTAACAGAAGACCTTGGAGGTGATCCCAAATTTGCCTTCCCTTAGGCAAGCCTTTGACAGTGTCATGGCCCGGGGAGAGCCAGCTGTTCATTTCCGGGCAGCCCGGTCCTTTAATCGAGAAAGGCCTGAGCGCATTGAGGCTACATGTGAGTAGTGGGGAGTCACAAAAGGGAAAATGGGCTCGCATGTGTCCCTAGCAACAGCCCTTTTATTAACTCGTTAATTTGACCCCTATGTCTGAATCTTGAGTACCAAGCACAAAACAGCGAACAAAATGCCCGAGACCTGCCGTCATGGAGGCGGCTGTCCTAGCTGTGGGAGAGCTAAACTAAGCTCGTCTCTTCTCTGAGGGTGAGGTCTGGGGTGTAGGAGGCAGGCTGGGCTTTAGATCAGGAATCAAAGTGACGCCTTCCCTTTCTTACTGCTCCCTCCTCACAGTGGACAGCTTGGGCATCAGCGATGAACTGAAGGACAAACTGGAGGATGTCCTCATCCCAGAGCAGCAGTTCACTCTGGGCCGGATGCTGGGCAAAGGTTTTTGGGGCTGTGCAGGGAGTGGGGTGTCTTTGGTTGCTGCCATCCTGTGTGGGTGTGGATCAGCCCTATCAGCAGGATAACAGGATATGCTTGTAGACTCCAGATTTGGCATGTTTGGGGGGATGTGGCTGGGGAGGAGGAGGGTGAGGAGTTATTCCCAGCATAGCTTTGCTACAGACAAGGGAGCCTCTTCCTCTGGCCCCGGAATCTAATGATTTTGTGTCCCTATGGAGGGTCCTCTGGGAGGGAAGAGATGAAGGCACAGGAGGCCATGGGGACTCACCATCATTGGATTGGTTCCTAGGAGAGTTTGGTTCAGTGCGGGAGGCTCAGTTGAAGCAAGACGATGGCTCCTTTGTGAAAGTGGCTGTAAAGATGCTGAAGGGTGAGTGGAAAATAGTAGCTGTGGACATTGCTTGAGGGTGAAAGGGACGGCTGATCCTGAAACGACTCTGCTTGGCCCCTGAGTTTTCAGCACTCACTGGGATGCTAGCTGTTCCATGTGACTAATTCACAAGCAGAAACCCACACACATACCAGTTTTTGCTCTCTGACGTCTGTAGTGCCTGTCTGGGCTCTCTCCTGGAGTGTTTAAGGCTGTGTTTGGTTGAGCTGCTGGGCTGCCCAAACCGAAGGGAAGGCATTCACGAGCAGAGAAATCGTGGGGTAGCGCCGTCCATGGCGTTTCTCCTGCTCATGGCCAGCCAGCTCCTTGGGCCTTTGGGGAATCCCAGACATCTGAAAGACCAGGCCCAGGAGTCTTGGGTCAGTCAGAATTGAGGCACATCTCTCCCTCATTCCTCCCACTTCTCTCTCCCCAGCGGACATTATTGCTTCAAGTGACATTGAAGAGTTCCTCCGGGAAGCGGCTTGCATGAAGGAGTTTGACCACCCACACGTGGCCAAGCTTGTTGGTGAGCCCCTTCTGGGGAGAGGCAGATATAAAATAAAGCTAAAAACTGCTCCTCCAAGGTGCCAGGGCCTCCTGTGGGAGATAGGTTTGGATTTGCCTGATAAGTAGGCAGACCTCAGAAAGCAAGGGGCTAGGGGTGGTCAACCAAAGGTCTGGTCATGAAGACGGTTCACAGAGAAGGAGGAGGAGGAGGGCACAGAGAAGGTGCCCCAGAATGTGAGGGCAGCCAGAGCACCCCGGATTGTCTGCAGGCCAGAGTGGAACTTGTGGGGAAAGAGGTAGCAGCGCTCCAGCTGGAGGTAGGGTGCAGCAGACGGGGCCCACGAGGACACTTAGGCCGTCCCTTGACCTTTTCGTGACTGGCTCAACTCTCCCTCGTCCCCAGGGGTAAGCCTCCGGAGCAGGGCCAAAGGCCGTCTCCCCATCCCCATGGTCATCCTTCCCTTCATGAAGCACGGAGACCTACATGCCTTCCTGCTGGCCTCCCGAATTGGGGAGAACCCTTTTGTGAGTGCCTGGCAAAGGGGTGGTGGCTAGGAATTAGAAGGGGGCAAAGAGGCGGACTGGTGGGTGGTGCTGATTCCGCTGGTTGGGAAAAGGTGGACTCCGGGTTTAAGTCTCTGCTAGTAGGTCTCTTCCTCCCCCACAAAGCCCTGTTTGGAATTGTAGGCTGGGCAAAGGCCCTTTCAGGGAGAAGAGACCTGTGGAAACCCGGATTGGGTGATTGTGGACTCTTGGCACACTCTGACTTTGCCAAAGCTGCTTAGCCTTGGCAAGCCCCTCTCAGCGAGTCTGAGGATAGTCTTCAGGCTTTCTGGCTGGGGAACCCATTCTTCTTGCCAGGTAGGTATAGCCTAAACTTTTCCTGTCTGCCTACCAGAACCTGCCACTTCAGACCCTCATCCGGTTCATGGTGGACATTGCCTGTGGCATGGAATACTTGAGTTCAAGGAACTTTATCCACCGAGACCTGGCCGCTCGGAATTGCATGTATGTGAATGCCGGAGGATCTGGGGGTGGGAGCAGCAGCTGGTGCTGGGAGGAGCTCTCAGCCGGCGGTCAGCTCCTGCCTGGAACATGCCTGCTGTGCATGGGGACAGCTTGGAAGCAAAGATGCCCAGACTCTAGTGAGGCTACCTGCCTGGGGGCAGCCGATGCCAACCTCCAGCTCTCCTCACAGGCTGGCGGAAGACATGACTGTGTGCGTGGCTGACTTTGGACTCTCCCGGAAGATCTATAGCGGGGACTACTACCGTCAGGGCTGTGCCTCGAAATTGCCTGTCAAGTGGCTGGCCCTGGAGAGCCTGGCTGACAACCTGTATACTGTGCACAGTGACGTGGTGAGTCCAGGGTGGCTCGGTGGGGCTTGGTGGTGGTGAGGGCTGGGCATGGGTGGGCCTATAAGATCCTCTAGGGCCTAACCAGGGCTGCTCTCTGGACTTTGGCTGCCCAGCTACAAGGCCCCAATCCCCAAGATGTGCTTGCCTTAGGGTTCTACCTGGCTTAGGAAGCTTAGTGACACTTTCCTTCCAACCTCAATTCTGTCCAGTGGGCCTTCGGGGTGACCATGTGGGAAATCATGACTCGTGGGCAAACACCATATGCTGGCATTGAGAACGCTGAGATTTACAACTACCTCATCGGCGGGAACCGCCTCAAACAGCCTCCGGAGTGTATGGAGGACGTGTGAGTACCTGAGAAGAGGGCTGGGGAGGAAACAGGAATTTGGGGTTTTAGCAGATGATGCCACTACCATTACTGGCCTGTGCGTGCTCAGAACCTTGAGTGGAACTTTTTATTTTTATTTTTATTTTTTTTAAGATTTATTTATTTATTCATACAGAACTGGGGTACAGGCCAGAGATGCGGAGGGTGAGAGGATTCACCAGAGACAGAGTGGGGTGCAGAACAGGCAGATCGACGAAGTACACTGCTGAGGGGAGCAGCGGGCGGGTCAGGAGAGGTCTGCCAGCCATGTGGTCTCCTCCGGGGGCAGGCGGGTGTCGAACTCATGCAGAAGTGGCTTAAGCTTCTTTGTGCTGTGCTTTAACCCGCTGCGCCACCAGGGAGGGCCTTTTTTTTTTTAAGGAATTTATTTTTATTTATTTATGCATACAAAAACTGAGGTAGAGGCTAGAGGGTGAAAGGATTCACCAGAGACAGAGTGGGGAGCAGGACAGACAGATCTACTGAAATCCACTGCTGAGGGGAGCAATGGACAGGCCAGGAGAGGTGTGCCTTGCCATGTGGGTCACCTCCCTGGCTGGGGGCTCTTACTGCAGTGGCTGGCAATAGCCTGATAGTGCTGATTCTTAACCCCTTGCTCCAACAGGGAGGCTCCCCCACTCCCTGTTTTCTTTCTCTCTCTTTTCATCCCACATTTCTTGTTCCAGACTTTTCCTCTGTCTATTGTCTTCACTTTCCAGGGAGAGAACTAGAAACCCCCAAGGCAGAAGTTATAGGTTTAACCAACTATTCAGGTTTCCAGGTTACCATGTCACCTTCCTCCCTGCCCCCACATTCTTCTCAGTTGCTGGCTCTTCTGAGAAAGAAAACATCTTAAACTGAGCTCTACCACAGAGGGCTGCTTGCAAGAAAAAAGTGCTACTCCATCGCATTCCAGTCTTGACAAGGAGGGGGCTGGGGGCGGGAGGTTGGCTGCCTTTTTTGCCTTGGCTTCTTCTTGAGAGAATGGAGGACTTAAGACAACAAGCAACAAGAGGAGATCCTGGGGAGAAGGGAACTGCCTTCTTTCTGGGATCCTGAAGCCCTTGGCAGTGGGGAGGGTGGATATACATTCACTGCACAGGCAGATTCACGAGCCTTTTGTAACTGGAAGACAGTACCAGTAACATTAACTAGACATGTGACAGGCATTCTTTCAGGTAATCCTCTAGCTACAAGGAAAAGACTATTAAATGTTCATCCCATTTTGTAGATGAAGAGAGAGGATTAAAGAGGTTAAGTAACATAACCAAGCTCACACAACTAGTAAGAGAAATGACTTTGAATTTGAACTTAGATCCCTGTGATCTTACATTCTGTGCTCTTTAAAAAAAAAAAAAAGATTTATTTATGCATACAAGAACTGGGGTACAGGCCAGAGGTGCAGGGGTTGAGAGGACTCACCAGAGACCTGGCTGGGGATCGAACTCTCAACTCGTGCTTCAGCAGCTGCAGCTAGCCCCAGAGTGTTCTCTTTAACCCCTTGCACCACCAGAGAGGTCCCTAGACTGTGTGCTCTTAACTGTGATGCCGACTTGTGATTTGTTTGTTCTAGTGTTATCCCCTCATTCCAGAAACTCAGGCCAGAGTTGCTCTTAGCCGCCAGAGGACTTTTGCTAGTTCCAGGGGTGGGGGTCCAGTGACCCAGGGATAGAACGTATTCCCTATTTCTTACTGTGGGTTGGACCTTCAGAGGAAAGCACAGTCTGGATGGCCGCATACTGTTTCTCTAAAGCAGTAGGTTTGAAGTATCCCAAGACTGGACCTAGCATGACTCACCTATACTTGAGAGGGAAATCTGAGCACACAAACCAGCTCAGGGCGTGGCAAGAGCAGGGCGCTCAGGCTACCTGTGGCTGCATCCTGCCTGGAAGTGCAGGCTCTCTTGGGCCATGGCCACCAAGCCCGAGCTTAGCCTCTTTCCAGGCCAGAGCTAGCATTGTCAGTAGCCAGTGGCCGGGTGCTGGCATCCCACCAGGCATCCCAGTGGACAGGTGCCAGTTGGCTCCTAGCACAGCCTGACTGTATCCCAGGCTGGCCACGTACCCATGGCTGGAGACCATTCCCACGCCTACTGCATGTCTGGGGTGATTCTTAACCATCTTTGGGACCTCCTGTACAGATAGCTGTGTGTATGTGTGTGTGTGTGCGCGCGCAGGGTTGGGGGAGGTGGTGTTTGGGATTTTGATTGTGGGAGAAAGTCAGGCATTTACATGATAAATTCATGCAGAAAAGTCAGGCTGACTAGATCTGGTCTCCACCCCTCCTTTAGTTCTGTTTTTCCTTTCTAAAGCCTGGGGCATTTCTTGGGAACAGGGATAAGATCTCAGGGAGTCAGTAAGGCTCCTCAAATTATAAAAAGTGTTCCTGCCAGCAGGGCAGGATAGAAGCTTTTCTTAGATTCTCTAAGGTGTCCATGAACAATGGGGATGAAAACTGCCTGAGTGGGAAGGAAGAGGGGTGCTGAACCCCACCCCCGAGAAACAGCCCTCACTCTCCACTGTTCTGCAAGGCAAAAGCGCTCCTTGTACCTGCCCTCAGAACAGCAGCAGAGCAGCAGAGGGGCTCCGGAGCCCACCCACCTAGCTTCAGGTCACGGCTCTGTCACTTTCTGCCTGTTTGGCCTACCGTAAGGTTCTCAACCTCGCTTACTTCAGTTTGCGTGGCGCTAAGATAGGGGTCATGTATGCCAGAGGGTTGTGGTGGGAATTCAGCGATACATGTAAAATACTGAAGAGTGCCTGCTACAACCAAACCCTACACGTGAGTGTACCCAGTAACATTTTTTAAGATCCTGGTGCTGCCTGAGGGAGCCTCTGCTCTTGAGGGAAGGGCCAACTGTGCCCTTTGCAGTGGCGCCTCGCTACCTTCGTCCTCCTCTCTGCCCCAGGTATGAGCTCATGTACCAGTGCTGGCACGCTGACCCCAAGCAGCGCCCTAGCTTCACCTGCCTGCGAATGGAGCTGGAGAACATCCTGGGCCACCTTTCTGTGCTGTCCACCAGCCGGGACCCCTTGTACATCAATCTGGAGAGAGCTGAGGAACCTGCGGAAGGAGGCAGCCTGGAGCTGCCTAGCGGGGAACAGGCCAGCGGCGGGGCTGGGGATGGCAGTAGCCTGGGAGCCAGGGGGGGCACCCCCAGTGACTGTCGCTACATCCTCAGCCCAGGAGGGCTGGCTGAACAGCCTGGGCCGGGGGAGCAGCAGCCAGAAAGCCCCCTCAGTGAGGCACAGAGGCTGCTGCTGCTGCAGCAAGGGCTGCTGCCCCACAGTAGCTGTTAGCTCGCAGGCAGAGGATGGTGGGGCCATGCGGCTGGCTCTGCCAGCCTCCACGCTGGCTGACTCAGCTCCATCTGACCCCAGCCCGGGCAGCAAGACGCGGAGGCTCCTGTGGTAGTCCTCCCAAGCTGTGCTGGAAGCCGGGACTGACCAAATCGCCCAATCCCAGTTCTTCCTGTAGCCACTCCGTGGCCAGCCTGGCATCGGTTCAGGCCTTGGTTGGGTGGAAATGGGCCAGCCTTGGTTGTCGAAAGCCAGGCAGCTGGCAGGAGGGGGTGGTTATGTTTCCATGGTTACCATGGGTGTGGAGAGGAGTTGGGGGGATAAATTCAGCCCTGTGGGTCCCTACTTTCCCCGCCGAGCTGCCTCTGCTGCTTTAGTGCATGCATTGAGGCATCTCTGGCTCGGTGATGCAGAAGTGCCCACGCTTGGGCCTGAATTGCCCAAGTTTGCCCCTCCTCACAAAGAGATTCCTTTGTGCTATTCCCCTTAGGTGAGAGTTGGTAAGGGGCTGGTACAGTCGGGTCCCAAACCCTGTGGTAGGAGGCAGTGGGACATTCTCAGGTCCAAATCATCATTACCTTCCTGACTACCCACCCTGCCTAGCTCAGGAGTAAAGTGCAGTTGACCAGGTCACAGCAAGGCATGCTGGGTGACCACGGGCTCCCACTTGCCTATCATCTGAAGGTAAAGGTAAAGTACTGGGCTCGAGGACTTACCCGGGAAGGAGAGTGGCCCTAGGAGTCCAGGAGCCCTCGTCGTGTCTCCCACAGACTGTCTGAGCATGCTACCAACTCCCAGAATATCCTGAGACTAACGAAGGCAGCTGTGTCTGAGCCCAGTCCTTCCATGCGGCGTCCCTCGTCCCGGCTCCCTCTAACGAGCCCCTCTTGCGTCTCAAGTGTCTGATGGGTAACAGGGCTGGTGGGTTGCGTGAGGGGAGATGCTGGAGCCCGGACCCCAGCCCTCGCTAGGGGAGGCTCTGGGAGTGCATGGGGCTGGCCCTTGCTGTTAGGGACATTTCCAAATTGTTAGATGCTGTTTAAAAACAGAAATAAAATTGAAGACTAAAGACCCAAGCCTTTGTCTCTTAAATGTTTATGCTTCACCCCCACCCCCCACCCTCAGGTCACAACAATCTTTGCATGGAGATAAGTTTGGGAAGACTTGCCAAAATATTAACAAGTGTTATCTTTACATGACAGGATTATGGCGACTTATTTTCCCTTTGTGCTTTCCAAGGTTGCTGCATTGAGTACAGAAATTAGAAAAGATCTCAAAGAATCTTATATTGAGGATAACAGATTAACCATTATGGATAATTAGGAAGATTATTGCTTGAAAAAATTTTTTTATTTATGTGCACAGGAACTGGGGTGTAGGCCAGAGGGGTGGGGGGTGAGAGGAGACACCAGAGACAGAGTGGGGAAGCAGAACAGGTGGACCTGTGAAATCCATTGCAGAGCAGAGGGTAGATAGGAGAGGTCTGCTGCGCCATGTGGGTTATAGTGGCCAGGAATCATGCTGCTGATAGCTTTATAGTGCTAAGACCTAACCCCTTACACCATCAGGGAGGCTCAGAAAATTGTTTTTTTTTTTTTTTTAAATGCCAGGTTCCTCTAACCCTACAACCTAGAGGTAATTACTAATGACCTTTAGAAAATGCAAATATTTTGAAAAAGTTATTTATCTTGGAACTAAAGATAGAGGACAAAGAGAACTGTCTCCTGTCCCTCTTTCAGTCTTTTCTTCTATCATTGGGTGTGGAGACTTTGTTTTCACTTTAATACTTTTGCTGGAAGCCTGGGGAAACTGGGAAGAAATGAGCAAAGAGAATGGTGAGCCACCGGAGATTAGAAATAAGAACATGAAGTTTGCTTCCAAGTATTTTCCACCTGAAATTTTTAGTTTAAAAAGCTTTTAGAGCAAGCTCGTGGGAACATGCAACAGGAGGCGTGAGAAACAGGCTTCTCTGCTGAGGGGCGTGGGAAGACTGGGAGGGACACAGGCTTTGCATTGCTGGTGTAGGCAATGGGATGGGGTAGGTGTGTCAGAAAGCAAATATCCTGAAAAACTTGTCCCTGGCACTCTTGATTCTGTTTCCCACGTGGATCAGGAGACCTGAATTAACTTCCAGGGCAGTGGTTTCCAGAATGTTTCCTGCTGTGGTTAGCATAATTGGAGGTAACGATTGTGAGGTAGCGTTTAGAATTATTGATTGAGAAAATCTTTATTCTCAATTGTCTACCATGAGCAGATTCCTTTTCTATGCCAGGCACTATGCTTGGGACTTTATATATATGATCTCATTTACGACAGAGACCATTCCAATAGGTGGGATAATAACTATCCTTATTAAAACAAAATCAGAGTAATTAACCTGACTAGAGTTATGCATCTAATGAGTACTAAATTCAGGCTTAAAATCCAGAGTCATAGAACACAGCCTCGACAACTCTGTCCTCACACCACTCCTTACAGTACCTTATCATGACTTTTTCATTTTGGAAATGAATACATGTCAGTAGTACTTTTTTTAAATAATATAGTAGTTTATTTTTAAATCATTTTGTACCTTTTTCCATCTCAGTTGTAATCCCCGTGGGCTTCCCGTCACCAAATCACCCATGTGCCATCACCAAAGTCCAGTGCACTTCCCTCCCCCCACCGTTTTTGATCCCGTTCCCTACTCCACCCCCATAAAATGTCTCTGGCATATAACTGTTCATTATTATTATTATTATTTTCTCGCCTGGCCCTTTATACTCCTGCTATGAGTGAAACCATCTGGTATTTTTCCATTTCTTTCTGGCTTATTTCACGAACCATGATCTTTTCCAGCTCCATCCATGTTGTTGCAAAAGGCATGTGTTATTTTTTTTTGGTTGCTGAGTTATATTCCATTGTGTATATG